CATAAAATCAGAATTGGATTTACTAGAGGCTGATAAGACCTAAGCTCAAGGTGCCTCACTTCCTCTCCCCTTTCCAAGGTTTTCTTTGGTGGTGGTTTTTTTTTTTGAGACAGAGTCTCGCTCTGTTGCCCAGGCTAGAGTGCAGTGGCATCATGACAGCTCCCTGAAACCTCCAACTCCTGAACCCAAGTGATCCTCCTGCGTCAGCCTCCCGAGTAGCTGGGACTATAGGTGCACCCCACCACGCCCAGTTGATTTTTTCTATTTTTAGTAGAGACGGGGTCTCGCTTTTGCTCAGGCTGGTCTCGAACTCCTGAGCTCAAGCAATTCTCCCGCCTCGGCCTCCCAGAGTGCTAGGACTACAGGCGTGAGCCACTGCACCCCGGCATCCTTCCAAGGTTTTGTACCTAATTTTGTATTTATCATTTGGGGTTTTTTCCAAGGAGGGCCCCCCAAATTGTGTAAGCATCAGGCCTCACAACACATCCACCCTTGTACAGAATTGTGAATCTCTTAAGAAAAAGTACCAATCGTTTAACTTTTTTCCTCCCAAAAACCTATGTTGATTCTTAAGAGGTGTGTCAGCCGTGGTGAGCGTGAAGGCTGGTACAGGCCACGGAGCCTCAAGACCTGCCGCGCATATCAAAGGCAGACAGAGGTGACTCCTGAGGTCCCAGGGAGGGGCAGATGGCTGACATGGGAAGGGTGTTTAGCAACTAATGTAGTCAGTTGCTTCCATAGCTCTGTTAATTCATTTTGGGTAATGTCAGTATTACCAATTCATGAATCCACCTTTTACCTTAAGATGAAGAGTGTTCTTTCAGGAGATCCTGCTTGCCATCATGGGTGTAACTGAGCACAGTGACCTCATATGGCTCTTGAGTGAACTAAAAATCACAGTTCACACTGAACTCATAGTTTTTTAAAATGCAAAACAAAACAAAACCAATAAATTCTTATCCCCAAAGAGTGATTTTAAAGGTCCCTTTTTTATGTACCTAATGCATCTGAGCCAAATGTAATCCATCTACCCCACCACATCCATTCCTAATCATAGCCCACACAGAAAATTTAAAAGACAATAGTTAAGACTGAACTTGCAATTATAATATGCGTGTTTTTTTATTGCTGAGGTGGCAGCTCAACTAGTTAAGTTACTGAGTACTAAAAACTTTATAATTACGCTGTTAGTTGTATTTATAGTTAATGTATGGTATTAATTTTTTACTTATTTTGAGGGACTTTCTGGAACGATAAGACTGTCTTGCGATTTGACTTGAGTAATAACACACATGCATACATTTCTCATTAACTGAACATAAGATCTGTGCGTTTTATTAGAAACTTCCACAGAGAAAATTTGTATGCTACCTGAAAAAAAATTTTTTTGCAGGTTCTTTTTACTTTAACTTTTTGAAAGGTTATATCATATGTGTGTTCTTATTTGTCACTCTCAAACTTTAGGAATTCTTTGATCATGTGAAAAAACTTTGGGACGATGAAGGCGTGAAGGCGTGCTTCGAGAGGTCCAACGAGTACCAGCTGATCGACTGTGCGCAGTAGTAAGTTGGCTCCTGTGTGAGGTGCAGGCTCTCTGGAGAATGTGCTGTACTCACAGTTACGCCGCCCTCCCTGCCCTTCTCAAGTTCCTTGAATGCAAGGAACAAATAATTAACATTTTGCTACAGAAATCATCTCGTAAAATGAGACATGTTTAGAAAATGGAAAATTGAAAATCCAACAGCAATTAGTTTTTCAAGGAAAAACCAGAAACAGATTCATTCGTTTTGTCCTGATTGTTGTTTTCAGTTCTCTTCATTCTTTTTTTCTACATAGACTTATAGAGATATTTGTAGATTAAAATGTACTTAAATATTCATTATTATATTTTAATTTTGGAACCGAGGCCCCCAAATTCAATTTTAAAACAATATTAACATTTGCAATCAAGTCAGGTTCTTATTTAAAGTAATGTGATC